TCAGATAGAGGAAGGAAGGTAGGCTGGGAAGTAGGTCCTTGTGATGATTTTTATTCGGGACCCTGAATGTATATTTCACCAGTCATAAAGCACATAGTTTAGATAAACATGTCAAGAATGAGGTAAACAGAGGTAAACATGAGGAGCTTTACATTAGAACCAAAAAATGAAAATGTAAGAAATTCTGTGCATCAATAACTAAAAATTATTTAAACTACAGGACTCTGTAGAAGTCTAACTTTTCTCTTTATACTTGAGATATACAATATTAGCTGGGAAACCTCCGATCCAATCAGGAGTCTGAGAAACGTCGGATAGAATTTGATATTTTTAAATTAAATTTCTCTTTATTCAATTGCCTCTGAGTAGAAAGATCTATGATTTCCAAGTGCCAAATGATAATTTAGTGTACGAATGTACATACCACAGAGATTAATTTTTTAAGAATTTAAGAAACTGGCTGAACCGGATAACATCAAGGAAAGGAGAGTTCTGATGTGGGGCCTCCTCCAAAAGACTGGTTTTTATTGGTCTGATGCTCCATAGGATGGCCTGTAATTTTTGTACTTTATTTTTTAAACTAGAGTGGGAGAAATGGAGACTGACCTCTTTTAGCAATTTTGTGGGGGCGTTTGGGTCCTGTGGGAATTTACTAGCTTGCTTTATGGCCCTCAGCCAACCCTGGTGGGAAGTCTAGAGAAGAATTCAATTCTGCTTTTTCCCAGAATACTTGTTGACAAGCTCAGCAGCACTGAAGTGTTACACGAGTCTCTGTGTCCCCCAGAGTCCAGCGATAAAGGGACATGAGACCAGCGAGGGTCAGTGTTTCCGGGAATATAATGTTGGTTCTCAGAATTTACATATTTTTCTCATGAAACTTTAACAATTTTTAAAACAAACTCCACCACTCTGATCTTAGGAGGGAATGAGCATGCAGCCCACTGCTTCCCTCTGGAAGTATTTTAAGCATTGAGCTTTTCAGAAAACAATCACTTCTTTTTGATGACTGTGACTTCAAATACCCTTCCTGCCAGGCCAGTGGTGACTCATAAAACAGCCGCTGATTTCAGGAACTCACCAGTAGATTATGGGTGCTTGCAGCTTCTCCGAATGATAACTGGATGAAATGATACACAGCGAGGGGCTTTGTGTGAAAGATTAAATCCAAACTCAGACACTTACAGCCACGTGTCCTGTGCTCTCAAGAGGGTTTACTGTGAAGGTGCCGCGGAGTCAGTGTCTGATGGGCTGTCAGCAGCACAGTGACCTTGAAAGTTCTCTAACCGAGTCACTGCAAATAGGACAACGGGCCCACGACTGTGAGTCCACCCCCTTTAAATGTAGATAATTTATTTTGCACATCTCAGATATGACTCTTGCGTCCAAGCCGGAATTTAAGCCGTGTACTAATACTCAACTGCCCTACCAGCCCAATTCTTGAGAGGGAACGGTACCATCTAGAAGAGTTAAGAACCCTGGCTTACTTTAAAGAACTATTTGTAACACACATCAGTTTCCTACAGTTAAAACGAGCTGCTTCTTGTGAAGATTAAATGAGATACGTGTTATCATTAACAGTCACGCTAGATGTATTTTGAAGTACAAACTTTATATGCTCCAGAATGAAAAGCCAAATGTGTCTTAAAAACATATTCCTAAAAACTGATGCTTTATACTATCAACAAACAGTCAAAATGCAGAAACAGTGTGATTCTTCCTCTCTCAAAACAATGTGTTCATTATTGAAATATTAGAAATAAAATGGTAAATGTTCTAAGATTAAAGTGGCAACGCTCAGATTCCCCATCTTACCAGTTCTGTGTTCAGTCTGCCCGTCTATAAAACTGGGAGGAATATGCTTTACCTATGTTTACCTTTCCTCCTACAAGATCTAGTGCTGTGCAGACTCGCTATGGGACAACATTGCGGGAAGAGAGGTCTGAGATATTATTAAGGCAAAACTCGTGAAAAGAAATTTGCATAAGGTCCTACAGTCAGTCAGTGACTGCGATTACATTTTATTTTGTAGTCCAGTGCCTGTAAACCATGCAGTGGCTTCCTTGGGATAACGTATAGAAGGCACCTAATGTATATAAGGCATACGCACTTAGAAGATGATTGTTGCTATTGTGTTGATGATGAAAACTTGACTTCATAGGTGCTCTGCCTAGAAATCAAGCTGACAAAGGACAAGGGAAAAGGCAAGGTGCTAAAAACTAAACAAAAACTGCCTCCTTGCGCCCCACAACCAGCCAACCCGCCAATCAAACATCTGCCACCACCAGAGAGCAAACAACACCCAGAGGGCAAAGGATGCCTAGTGGGAAGGAAGCTGAGGTCATGAATTCCAAATTTCCCACCTGCCACGCTGACATCATTTCCATAATTCCAACCTGCAACATGGTACACGCAGCTTATTCTGCATGTGTTTCCAGGGGGCTCCCTGGTTAGGGAGAAGGGGCAAAAGAACTGCCTCTTACTCCAGGGAGCTGGCTTAGTCCTACTCCTTCCCACTCCCCCATCCCTCAGGGTGAGGTTACACACTGTTGTGGGTATAGTCTTGGAGGATTCCCACCCCTCTCCCGTAATGTGGGATGGTTTGAGATGAGACCTATACTCCAGTTCCCAGTTCAAGTTGTGAATGCTTAGACTGCATGCCTGGCATGTTTCTTAGAAGCTTTTGGGGAACCCATGACAGTCACATTCATGTTAGTTTCGTCTTTAGTCATGAACTACAAACAGCGGCTCTGCTAAGATCGCCACCTGTCCAACAGGAAACAGACTGAAAACACTCCTCATTCCTACATACCACGGACCACTGGACAACTGGGGATACTTGTGGGTCATTACCATCCTAGGCTACTTTTGAACCAATGATCTCAAACTGACTACCTTGTGTTCTATTATCTTTCCTCTAATTCATGCCGTTCTTTAAATGCTCTGTTAAGAATGCAAAGTTATAAAATGATCTCCTTTCCTGCTTCACCTTAAGAAGCCTTTTTTGATTGTTCAATTAGAAAAGAATGCAAAATGCACAGCATTCGACAGACTTCCTTTGCAGAGAATAAGTAATACCAAACAATAGTATTATACAATGGCTAGATTGCTTTTTCCTTTATCCTGTATTAATCTTCCTAATTGATTTCCCAAAAAGGCAAATAAGAGAGCGGGCTACATCCTGTGGTTGTAACTTCTGGGGAAACTGCCACCAAAGGCAATGGAAGATTTTCCAGAGAAAAAGCAGAATTGGTCCTATTGTTCTGTAGCTGACTTAATTTTCCTCTGTGTGTGATGTCTTAGAAATACCTACGGCTTGTGGTTTTAAATGTATGGAGAAATGGATATGCTCACAAAAAGGAAATTCAGATGCTTTAGGAGTGATATAAAAGAAATATCAGAGAAATGACTCAGGTCAGAATAGCTCATAGAGGGAACATTTTTTTTTTTTTAAATACATACATTGAACAGATAAAGAAGAAAGTAATATTTTAATTGGATAGTGAAAAATATAGCAGATTGACAGTGACAGCAGAAAAAGAACAGGAATACAGATATTTTCAGAGAATTAAAATGGTACCATGTACTCTCAAACCAGGCTAGTTTTTACGAGAGGTCTCTAAACGTATTGAGTAGATGGTTTTCCTTGGAGCTGTCAAAAATGCTTTGTGGTTCTCTACATTAATTCACGTTGAATATTTTCCATGGTTGGTCAGACTCGGACTTAAAATAGATATGAGAAAGGTCTTCAGGTTTACTGTCAGTAACATTATTAACTTCATAGCCAGCTGGATGACGGCATGGTGTGTGACCAGTCCAAATTTACAAGGTAACCTTGCCTGAATCCTCCTGGTCCATCAAATATAAATAATAAAGTGAAGGTGCGAGAATAGAATTGCAAAGAACAGTGGGAGAAGCAGTCGTCAGAAAGCAAAACAAACACAAGAAAAAAAATCTGTGAGGTCACTCAGAAATGATGCTAATGATTGTGTGTTCTCACCCTACGGCCTCCATATACATGGGGTTCCTCGTGCTTCACAATCAGCCCCTGTAGTCAGTAACCCTTCACACCCCAGTCGTGGTTTCCCAAGGAAAAACAATAGTCATATGTACCTTATCCACATCCTGCTCACCTTTTTATACGTTGCTCCATTTACACTGTACTCTACCACTTGCCTCAGCTGAGGAAAACAAACTTATGCTTTCATGGGCAATTGGAGACGTACTCACTTAGTTTCTTAAGGAACTGTGAGGGAGGACGGGGATCCATCTCTAAGGATGATTATGCTTCTTGCCCTATCCCCTTTACTCTAAAAAAGTCTTCTGAAATGAATTAATATCTGTAAAACATCTGGCAAGGAACCTGATACAGAAGTGCTCAGTAATTATGAATACCCTCTTTCTGACCCACCATACTAAACCATGTACATTCCAACAATCCCCAGGGTACCTTCTCTGTGATATCAAACATCTGGCTGAGGTTGACAGACCAGCGCTAATCCCTGTCCTCAATAAATTTCTTATCCTCTAACATTAGTAATAGAGATAAAGCACTACTTAAAAAGGAAATCTCAGTCAATACATGTTATGTCTTTGCTACCTTCGAACCTTTTCGCCATCGGACCACAGCTGTTATGTTACAGAGAGGCTGTGTCCTCATGTTTGATAACCCCGATCACTGTCATTCTTGTGGCTAAAGCATAAATCCTAAATATCCTGCTTATTTACTATGATGGCACATGTCTATTTGGGGTACTCCCAGATTTTTAAGTGTGCAAAGAAGATAAATATGTTTTAAGTCAATCTGAGTTAGATTTTTGACTCATTAAAAATATTATGCTCCTTGGACCCAGATTGGGAGGTGACATCTGAAATTAAGTAAATTGAGGACTTGCTAGGCATTCTTGGGGACTCAAGTAACACTGCAAACAATTTGTTTCAAGCAAAATGGACACTCAGCTTCAGCTACAAGATTACTCTTCCACAATAGATGGTTTCCACACCTGAACTGTGACACCACTTTTCTTGGCTGAGAACTTCGGCCTTGGTGCTACAAAATAAGATGTTGAGGCTGATTCTTGCTTTGGAGAGGTGGGAATGCCCACAGGCACTGGGGATGCGCTGACTGGTGAGGTGGCCTCTGCAAAGAAGGTAGGCTGAGAACTATAGGCTGGTACTGAGTACACGGACGAGGCCTGCACATTGGTGGGTGAGCTCACATTCACTGGCCGAGGAGGAAGGGCTTGCTTCAAGGTCGGCCCTGAGTGGACCTTGACTGATGACTTTTGGGGGAGGCCATCCTTTGCATCTGGAGGTTGGAAAGTAAACAAAGATGCATTTAGCTGATACGGTTGGTGCTTCATGACGTCCAAAGCATTGAGGGGTTTCTTGCCCTTCTTCTTGCTTGTTTTGGAGGCCTGTGGGGCTGATGGCTGAGACTTGACAGCAGCCAGTGGGTAGGAGGGAGAGTGGATAGGATTGTAGGCCACAGGAGGAGGTGCTCGGACGTTGGAGGAGTACTTCCAGCCGGCTGGTAGAGAGGGAGTGGGAGACTGAGCTCGAGCAGCGTGGGCCTGCACGGTGTCTGAATCTACCACATACTTCTCCATCCTCGACTGCCTTTTAGCAAAGAGCTGGGCTCCTCTCCCACTCATTCCTGGAAGCTGATTGGATGGTCCCCCTCCACCAGCATGACCAGCATTTACTTTTGGTGTGGGAGCTGTTGGCTTGGGTGTGTGGTTCAGACTGGCTACTGCTGCCTGTGGTCCTTTGAAGGGACCAGCCAGGTTCAGAGCACTTGCGGGCCGGGCAGGAGGGTAAGAAGGCTGGGCTATTTTGATAGAGGAGACAACGGTGCCCTGTGATGGGTTGGATGTGGGGAAGGCAGGAGGTTGGGTTGGAGCCACTCCTGGTGACCAGACTGGAGAAACTGGAGTTACCGGTTGGGAGGATGAGGACTTGACTGCAGGTTTTGGAGCAACAGGAGGTGGGGTCTTTTGTTTCCCAGCGGAGCTTTGCATGAAATTACAAGCCTCTGCTCCTAAACTGAGGTAGTCTTCTTCAGGTCCGGAATCGCCTCCAGCTCCAGTGCCCCGTTTGCCTTCTGAATTTTGAAGAAGTGACAAGAGTTCAGGATTTGGGCTTACTTTGGGCTCTTTAAAGGTGAACATGGGTTTTGTTGTGCTTCTCCTTTTGGCCTCCTGCAATATTCCTGTTCTTTTCGCTGGCACTGCGATCCTTTCATCCCGGGAAGCTATTCGCTCAGATGCATCGTAAAAGGCTGCCTGGGACCATGGGGCAGGCTGGGGCCATGGAGGCGGCTGTGCTGGGCCAGCTGTCGGACTAGATACTGCTCTGGAGAAGGCTTCAGGTGGAGGTGTGACTGCAGAATAAGGTGGAGGCGCAGGAAAGTCAGCGATGGGACTTGTCATGCTTCGGGTTGGGGAGAAGGGAGTTGCTGGCTGGTTCACAGACCCTGGGAAGGGTTTGGCCGTTCTGTTCATGGGGATCATCCTCTGGGCCTCTGCTGTCTCAGACACCCCACTGTAGCCATTCTGTTGGGGCATATGGCCGAGACCGTGGCTCACCTCCACGTAGCTTTTGCTCACAGAGCTCTGCACTCTCATTGATTCTTCTTCCTTCCTTTGGTAAGAAGTCATGGTTCTCAGGCCATCCGTCTGGGCAGCATCTGGTTCTCTGCTTGGGATTCCACCAGCCCTCTCTTCCTCTTTTTGGGCCGTGATCTGATCCATCCTCTCCCTCCTCTTGGCAAACATGAGGGCTCCCTTGCCTGTGGTGTCTGGCAACATCTCCATCTTGTCCTCTCTGTTCAGTTTCTTTTCAATGTCCACTAGTCCAGAATCCCAGTCAAAGTTTACAACTTGTGTGTTGTCGTCAATGTCAGACAGTAACTCTTCATCCACCTCTGATTCACTCGCATCCAGAAACGCGACTTCACAGGTGTCCTCTCTGTCCCCGTCTTCCTCCTCGTCTGCCTCTCGCTCGAGCTCGCCAGTACCGTAGCTGACAAGGGTGTATTTCCTGGCCCTCCGCCGACGCTTCTTAAACATCAACACCCCCTTGGAGTTGGGGTTGGGGGCATCTGTCAGAAGGAGCGCAATGCTTTTGCATTTAGATTTTGCTTCTTTCACCTGCTTTTCTGACAGGCTTTCACTCCTTCTGAGCCCTAGGGAAAGCACAAAAATTATATTGAGTTGATGAGTTCAAGGAAGACTCCATAGTCAACTCTCCTGGGGGAAAACGGACATGGAAAAAGTATGTTTACAATTGGGTACTGAATTCCGAAGCCATCCAACTCATTTCTCTTTCTTATTTCTTTTAAAATGTATACTTCTATAATGACATACAATGATATAGAACTATACAATGCCCTGTTTCACTTGCTCATGTAAATGCATTTTTATGAATGCTAATTTGAATATACATTTCATAATTTGATTAGAATAATATGTTTCATAATGGATCCTGATACTTCAACAATAAACACTGGCTAGTAAATGTCAGTTAACAGGAGGTAATCAAAACTAAAAAGGAAATAATTTAAAGACATAGCATTTTCTGGAAAATAAGTTAAGACTTACCTTGTACATCCATATTTTTAAAAAAGTCAATATAAAACCGTTTCCAAGCATTTTTTAAACGTAGGAGGAGAAGAGAGCAAGAAAATGTTATTTACCTAAATATTCTAATGTAATGAATTTAAATATTTAAGTTTTCTTCCTCTTTTTATCTTTTTTACTTTGATAACCCGCAAAGTCTTAGCATTCATGGTGACTAAATGAATATAAATTCAAAAAACTGAATGACTAATAATTGAAGGTACTGAATCAATAATTAATAATAATTCAGAACACTAGATCATTGTGAATACACAGAAGAAATTTCAGCTACAAAGTTGTCAAGATAAATCTGTTTGTAATGTATTGCTACTTTGGAAATATAACACTACTAAAGTTGCAGCAAGAATAAGTATAAATCTTGGGAAAATTTAAAAATTATATGACTAGTGCCCCTTTCAGCCCTTTTAGCAGAAACTAAGTCATTTAAATGAGAGTTTGACAGTTTTAAATACAGCAAAAATTTATATTTAAATTTTTACTTTTATCATTATTACTATAAAAATAAGTTGGTGGCAAATTTGTTTATAGCATCAGTTAATTATAATTATATATTCAATGATAATGAGCATGATTCACAAGTAAGTTTTGAATTTTTCAAAATAATTCAATGGAAATTTCAGAAAAATGCTTTGAATATTTTATGATTGAAAGTTAGCTCTTTCTGTCACTGAAAAAAAAATCAGACTTAATGGTTAATTTTTAAAGAATAAACGACAATCAGAGTAAATAGTTTTATAACAAAGTTACAGGTATTCACTGGTAATCAAATTTTATTTAGAGAAAACAGTAAAAAGTGTGATCGTTCCTAAATGTAATTCCTTTTTTGACCAGTGTTACACAACTTACTGTTAAATTGACAGTCACAGTTGTTGCTAACTTCACTGCCAACATGTGAAGTATGTGAGTGCTGCCTTAATGCACTTGTTTAAAATGCTATAAATGTGGAGATGCGTACAGATGCTTAAACTATAAGGAATGAGTAACAGCGCTTGCCAATAAAGCTACAAGTGGTTATGCTAAAAATATGCGTTGAAAGGAACAACAATAGGTTGGGAGATTTAATACACTACTTTGAATAGCCGAGCTCATTACTGTTGTGTATCATTCACACGTTCAAGTGCCTTTGCCAGTCAGCATTTACCTCCTCAAACAAAATTCCAACGTTTGTAAAAAAAAAAAAAAAAAAAAAAAGAAAAAAATCCTAAAACCTAACTGCCGTTCTTATCCTTATTCTTCTTTCTGTAAGCGCTCCCTGAGTAAAACAAAACACTGTAAAAAGCCACAAATTTAAATATATTCTACGTTTGGGGACATTTCAATGCCTCCACAAGGCCCTGGAGTCTGACTTCTGTGTCTAGAAGGTAGACGAAACGCTGTGCAGTCTAGTGAAGACTTACAAAACGGAGAGGATCATGTAACTGCTCAGTATTCCACATGTCCTTGTCCGTCAAGCTCACTTCTGCAAGCATCATCAAGCTGCACAATGATTTTTTTTCAAAATGAGGATGTGCTTTTAATATCAGTGGTGGAGCTTGTGTTTTAAAGACACCTCTCAGGAGCAGACTCGACAGTTTTTGCCATTTAAACTTGCCGTCCACATGACTTCAAATACTCTCGTACGTTATTTTAACATGAAATATTACAGCATCCTGAGACAAATCAAAAAGGCACATTAACAGTATTATTTTCTTTAACAGTTCTTGTGCCTTTGGAGATAAAAGGACGTGCATCAAAAACATTGAAATCTACTCTAAAGTTCAAACTTATTGCTTCCAATTCAAAAATTGGTGTTCTCCACAATTTCACATTTGTTATTTTGTGTATTAATAAATCAAAAGGGAAAAAAAAGCCAATGAGAGACATATGAAAAGTCTTTAAAAAGGAGAAAAGTCCAAGCAGGCAAAGCAGCAGCAAAATGCCCTCAGCTTCCCAGCCCCTTCCGACAGCCCAGCAGTGGCCGGGCAGGACTTACGTGCGTGGCGCGCTCTGTGCTTGTGAGGTCTGCCGTGATCCCTTTCCGAGTGTGGGTCTTCTCCCTGCTCTGTGCCTTCTGATGAGACTGCAAAGGATACCAGAGAAGGAGGTGCTTCTGACTGCCCTCCTTCCACTGGAGAATCCACACACCCCTTTCCTGCCTGAAGCCTGCACCCTTCCGTCTTCTGCCTGTCAGAGCAGTCGAGGATCACTTCCACTCGGGGCAGCCCGGTGGCTCCGGCGTCACTCCCCTGGAGCACTCTCAACTCTCGACCACTGGAGATCTGGATTATCTTGCTGGACCTCAGAGAAGGGTCCCCTTTCTCATTAGTCGGGACCAAATTTGTGTGGACAATCCCGTCGTGTTGTAAATTAGGTTCGGGGTCAGGAGACTTAGATTTTTCAGCTCCCAGGAGAGCCACTGCGGGAGCACTAGTGCCCTTGTATCTCTCCTGGGAAAGCGACAGTTGTAGCTCAACCACAGGCCCCGGCTGCCCTGCTTCTGCCTTCTCCCTTAAGATAAGCTCCTCCGCCAAGTGTCCTCTTTGGGAGTCAGGCATTTGGGGAGCCACATGGTAGCTCAGGCCTGTTTCTTCTTTTATGCTCCCTGAACAACCGGGACCACTTTCTTGGTCCTCAGCTGGGGGAGTTCCACTCTTGACCGGGGTGATGTAAAACTCTTTGTACTGGCTCTTCGTGGCTGGTCGGATCTGCAGCGTGGTACTTTCCACATACCCCTCGTGGGTGGGATGCTCATGGTTTCTGTTTTCAGTTTCAGAGATCAAAGTCTCACTTATTCCACTCGATGGTCTGCACACAGAAAAATCAGTCCAGACAGTTAAATCAGAGTGTGTTACACCTGCCAAAGAACTTCCTGACACTTTTATGATGTCTAATACATGATACAGTCAAAACATTTCCTCCTAAATGTCAACTGCAACATATTTGAAAACAGAAATTGGCAACATGTTTATATTATTATTTAAAGATCTTCCAAATAAACTTCTCTTTAAAGCAAAGCAAAAATGCTTACAAAAGATTATGAAACCTAAATCCATCCTAAATTCAGCCTTTATTCTTTAAACGTGCAGGTTACAGCTACATGGACGCCCTTTATCTGTAATTATTTGGATGTTTTCAAATAACCATGTTTGTTATAATGTGACAAAGCATTTCAATGTCTTATTGACTAAGTTTAGGTCTGCAGGTTATAAAGTCACATCAACATATTCAGCAGCTTCAGAGCAATATTAATATAATGATAATTTTACTATGAACAATGTTACCTCAATAAAAAATTTATTAAGTAAAAAAATGCAGATAGTTCAAGTAATCCTTTTGGAAGCTGTGTTTTCTTGAAAGGAATGAAATACAAGCTGTTTTTTAAGCTCCAGTGAGCATGTGTTTTGTAATAAGTGGACCCCAGCCCAGTCCTCTTGTGTCAAGAGAAATCCTTTCCATGCTGCAATGAATCACTGAGTCATGAAGTATTTATAATCTGAGATGTCTCCCGTTCTCCTATTTGAACCTGTCTCTTGGAGCATTTTCCTTATAGGATCTCTGAAGCCAAACTGTTCCTTTATCTCGCAGCTAAGGGGCCCGGAGCTGTTCACCACAGTCCTTTGATTTTGACCTTAACCATTCCCAGTTGGTTATGCAAATTTGGGTTTGCAAAAAGCAATGTTAGTGTAAGTGTTAACCAACTTCTTGCTAGAACTCTAATTTAAACTCTAACTGCTTTTAGAAGAGAAGCATCATTCACAGAACAGCTGTAGGAGGCGCTTTCCTTTCTTACATCTGTAGGTTTTTTAAGAAGCAGCAGCGTCTATCTCTGCCCCTTTCTTCCCCCCTCAGAATCCCTGGCTGATGCAGGATCATCAACTGGGGGGAGTGGCCCCTACTCTATTCCACTCAGGGAATTTACCTTAGAATTTATGTGAGAGTAGAATTTCAGACTAACGTTCAAAATAATTACTCATAACTTTGCTTTTGACTGTGTTTAGCAAAGCAAAACAAAACAACACTAAGAATCAAATGAAATGCAGCTTTTCTCTGTGCAAGTAATCTCCTGGCAAAAGAAAAAAACATTATAATAGAGCATTTTAAAAATATGATGACAGCAAATTAGATCTTGCCTTTATAGGAAATGATGAATACACTCTCTGCAACTGAATTTGAGGGAACCAAAAGGTCAGAGAGTTTTAATTTAGGAAGGCCTTCGGATGGAAGTAGATTAAACCACTTTGAATTATATTAGCAATCAATTTTGAGGCTGAGAAGAAAGTAGTCTGAATTCATTCCAACCTTACAGACTATATCACAGGCAAATGGGTCAGACAAATGTTAACATTTATTCGTAGCCAAAGTAAAATAGACATACATGAATAAAAATCATAAAAGCACTAGAAGTTAAAGCTTTATACCTTAAAATGCTCATTTCCATTCAGCCTACATAGATACTCCATTCCACAATTTATGTGTCATAATTATGTAATTTTAAATATATTTTAGCATTTTAATAAAATGTAAGATAATAGAGACATAATGTTAGGGTCATCTTTAAGATAGTCTGATCCAGCTATCTCTGGGCATTAGTCCAGGAGAAGTAAACCACTTGTCCTCTAGCGATAGGTGACATTATATGAGTGAGAGAAATATTTAATTCCCGGAAACAACGTTCGGCCACCCAGAGTGGTGAAGATGGTGATGATTATCTTTGGGCTGGTTTTAATTTGAGATTCCATTTTGAATCTCATCAATGAATTATTTTGTGAAAGTCAAAACAGCTAGGGAAAATAATAATCATGATTCCAGTTATTAAAAGTAGCAGAGAACTAGTCCGTTTACTTCCAAAATTAAATTTGTACCTAACACTCAGCTTTAAACCACCAAGGATTTTCCCAATGATAGCCATCAAAATCAAAACAAGAACTAGTAAGGAACGTCCCAGACCACAAGCGTGTTCCAAAGAAATTGGCCTCATTAAATCAGTAAAGACACTAAAAAGGAATAAATTAGAATAGGTTTTTCTCCCATTTTGGATGTGATTAAACTTACAAAGATGGAACTCTTCAAATACCTCAGAGATTGATGCATGATAATGGCAAACACTGTGACTACAACATTCCCGTTAGGTTCTTTTTAAAAGCAAATGGCAGCTTTATAAGTAAGATCTTCAGGGCTTAAACATCAGGCTTGATAGGTAAATATTTAGATGGCAGACTCTAAGAATAATGCTAGATATCTTTTATTTTCACAAGATTCTGGCCATAGTGAGTTCATGTTTGTATAGAAATGGAATCCTGTTGAACGATTACCAGAGGGGCGACGCTGTATGTAGTGTTTCTGCAGAGTTAAGGCAAAACCTGGAGGACTTTGAGAGGATATGTTCTGAGAAAAGCATCCTTAGACAATTTCATCATTGTGCGAACATCACAACACGTCTTAGCAAACTTAGATGATATAGCCTACCACATACCTAGCCTATACGGTACTAATCTTAGGGGACTAATCTTATGCGTCATATGCGGCGTGTGATGCTCAGGGCCTCACTTGCAAAGTTAGTATGGACTGTACTGTGATTTGCACACTGTGAAAAATGTTGATGCTACAGTTTTTTGTGATTGCTCTCATTGTTTTCTTTCGTTTTTATGTTCAGAGTTTACTTCCGTATTTTTAAATGATTAGGTGGGGAGGGTAGTATTTGGAGAGATCAAATTAACAAATGATTTGCATTGATAGTCCAAAAACTTTATTCTAACCATCTGTTTTGCCCATACGCAATTATCGGTTTTACTAGAGCTCCTGACAAGCAGAAATCTGGCTGCTTTTATGGTTTTTGTTGTTGCCGTTCTTTTCCTTCTCCGAGGCATTTTCTTTCTATAAAAAATTATTGTGGGATGGTTTAACATTTTTAATTTATCTGTGAATCTGGGAATTATCATTTAGTGATTCTGACCCACCACAAAATCTTGATCTTGTGTATTATGTTCAACATAACGTTAAATTATGTTCAATGTACTGAGCTTTCTAAGGAACTAGTCTAAAAATACCTAAGATTTTCAATGAAGATCTTGAAAGAAAGATTTTCAAGCTAATTCTCAGTTAACTGGACAATTCAGCTGATTGGAATGGCCACTTTTCAAACAGTCCAATTTCCCCATAAATGACAAATTATACATGTAGTAGAAGCTGTAATCATTCTCATCTAGCTCCAAGAGAAAATATATATGCCAACAAAGCTTTCGTACCTTCTGACGAGCATTTGGAGAGAGTCCGTTATGCTCTCCATGAGCTTGATGACCTCAGGGTAGGTGAGGTCTGCACAAGGGTTGCCGTTGATGGAAACCACTTCATCCCCCTCACAGAGCCCAGACCTGGATGCTTTGCTCTGGCTTCGGATCTGAGTGAAATAAAAAGGGAGGCAAGAGTTAGAGTCATACAACTTGTAAAAAACCATGCCACCATCTCTGAGAAAGTTTTATTTGAAAGAGGTAAATAGAGCTGCAAACCATAAAACCAGCCCTGATTTTTAATTCACCTGTTGTTCCCTGTGAGACCATCCTAAACAGCTCTCAGCCCTCACACACACGCAGTGTCCTATGTACCATAATGTCAACATTTAATTCACAGCATTGTAAGTAAACAGAAAAGGAGAGTAAATCTGTGGCAAAGAAGCTAGAATAAAGGAAATAAAGAATAGAGAAGAATGAGGGAAGACATGTTTTAATTGAGTATCCATTAAAAATAATTATGTCACATTGTGAGGTTTGACCCCAATCAGAAAGCGAAAAATAAACTTTAAAAGCCTCTCCCACTGCCAAGGTGGGTGGAACACCAACTGTAACAAGGAGCTGTAGGGCGGGACGATCAGTTTGAGGAGAGGGCTGTTCAGCTAAATGAACTAATGAAAGCCATCCCAGCATAATGGCGAAGTTGGGCAGCCAGGATATTAAGAATTATGTTAAAGAGAAAAATCTTTGAAATCAACTGTTTAAGTCTTGGTACCAAGCAAATTTTAGCAAAAAAGAAAGGAAAGCAGAGACTATTTTGCAAAAAAAGAAAACCTCCCTGTTATAAGGATTGCATCACATTCTAGCACAGAATGATGTGGAACAAGAATTGAATAAAAATGTAAAGAGAACCTTCGGACCCTGGAAGAAAAGAACTTTAGAGGAGCAGAGTAACGGCAGAGAGCTCCCTCCAGCTCCTTAGTGGGGAATAACCGGAAGTTTATATCCCGTATAATTATGATTATGGTGAGATGTCATGCTGGTTATTCTCCCTCTGCCCTTCCAAGTCCATTCTCCGCCATCCCTGGTGCTGCTTTGTCCAGCAGGGAGACTGGCCTCTAGAGACTGCATTGGTCAGCTCCCTTGCATGCTGGCTCCTGGTTGGGTTTGGTCAATGGGAAGCCCCAGTACGAGATCAAAGAGCAAGCGAATGAGAGGTGAGGCAGACGTTCTCCCTGCTGATCTACTGGGGGATGGTTTGGCAATGGTTCTGGTTCCTCGATCTACACAGTTACAGTTCCTGTCTGTCTACCCCTCCCCCATGCCTTAAATTCTTGTTATGTTCCAGTAACGCATACCATCCTTGCGTCTTCAGGGCCATGGGTAAGAGCAGCTTCCTGCTCTTCATCTCTGGGTGCTTCATTATCATTTGCTGGTTCCCTTAAACCTGCCTTTAGTCCTGCATTACATCATCCTTAACTACTCCTTTGAGCATGCCACCTGTTTCCTGCTTGGACCCTAATGTATTTCAATTTCACTTTATAATGTGAGTTTACTAGTTCTCGATGGATCACGTATCATGATCATACAATCTCAAATTTAAGTACACAGCAAGATACTATTCTGAATATTTTCTACCAAGATGATCACTCTCTGACTATGAAAATCAAGATTCTGAGTCCAGAAAGATCAAAACCAGGTGGGCAAGACTTCTTGAAGAATGTTTTCATAGCCAGCCTCATTTTGATTAGGCAGGAAATGTATTTAAATTTATCTCTAACAGCTGCCCACTAATTCTTGCTAAGATCTTAAATAATAATTAATATGTTGACTGATATATATCTACAGCTTACATGTCTAAGTGCATTTACACTTTTAGTGATATTCTTGAAAGGAAAAGAATTTCTTTAACCGTCAAAGCAATGATCCTGTTCAAGTTCAATGCAATTCAGTTAGTTTGGTTCTGCGAAGAGCCATCCTTCTTTTGTCATAAATTATAATCTATCGAAGGCCTTCCCCTTTTCGAACAAATCAATTTCATTCCCTTTTTTCTGAAGAACGTACTAATTTTTTGCAAAATATTAAATCAACTCAATATTTCTAAGGTTACAAGGAAGCAACAAAAGCAACGAGAAACAGAATATTCACCCAAATTTGAAAAATATCTCTTTAACTGCCAAATACATTTGTTTTGTTTTGTCTTGCATGAAATAATTAAAATAAAGAATCATGAGAGAGTTGTTAATAAGTCAAGGATAAAACAATATCCAAGGATGAACATTTAAGTTAGAGTTAGAGTTATTTACATTTCATTCATTTAAATTTATTCAATTTCTTTTTATAAAATGAGGTTAGGTAGATAATAAAGGATATTTTGAAGCATAAAACCATTTATTCAGTGGAGTCAGATGTACTAGAATACAAACAGAAAATTCATCCTTTGGTGGACCAAAGTTTTATGTTGATAAAACAGACGTGTCATTATACCCAATACCCACCAAGGCCCAATCTCAGAGTGGGGCATCCCTTTACCAGCAATAAGTTGTGTGAATTTTAAGCAGCTTCAAGGGTTTCCAGAGCAAGATGAAAAACTTGGCCTTGGAAAATAAATAAATCCGCAACTTAACAGAGCTGTCTATCATCCAAACATGTGTTGCTTGATGCGAAAAGTGCAGTCCATCATTATACTTGTCAAGTGGAGCTTTTACTGGTATCCAAATAAGCAAAAGCATTACAGTAGGAGTCATTAGCATTCCTCCAGAGCATACATTCTGAGGTCAACATTCAGAATCAACTGTTGTGATTGTGTTCACTGACATTTTACATTTGTCTGAATAGCAGGAAATATTTTTCCCTCAAGAGCCATGTTAAATTTGGTGATACTTTCCTTGCCACAAAGGTTTTTCTGAAGGACTACTCTTTCTTATATTTAATAAGACAACTAAACCCAGCAAAGACTGTATGATCGGCTGTATTATGCTCACACATTTCCCTTGCAATCATTAACTTCACTAATATGGTTCTATTCATAGGTGTATTATGAAGAATAAACATTCATTAGTGTACAAAAGACCTTCACCTTATGTTGTGTATACTAAGGTATTTTTATAATTTGTATAATTATGTATTATTATGTATATGATTAACAATTCTAACTTCTGAAAACATTCTTAAGTGTGAAAATGAAACACGTTGTCAATAGTAAGAGTAAGTTTGGACATAAAGATGAGTATTGCCAATACTGAATCTCTATCAGTGAATTTATCAACCAGCCTTCTCCTTAGGCCACTAGTCCTAGATTCGTAAGGTATGTGTCACAGTGGGAAAGAAGCCAGCTCTGAAGGAAGAGGACCCGGGTTGCAGTTCAGTGGCTCCAATGCTTACTAGCTGTCTGAACTTAGACGAGTTACATTACACCCTTGAGCTTTAGTTTTCTGGAGTGTAAAAGAGAGCTAATAAATTTGATCCTCCAGATGGTTAATAAGGATTAGAAATAATATGTGTTAAATTCCGTGATGCACACACAGCCCATGGAGGTGCTCAAGAAGGGGCTAGTGAAGGAGAGTGTGTTGACTTCCTACACACGCACGTGAAAGAAACACGCCAAGTGAAAGGCAAAGCCGTAAAATGTTGGCACTTTATCTACAAGATGTTTGACACATGGATTTCTTTTCAGTTTTTATCCAGATATTTCGCATTGTCTCATTATAATCTATCTTTTCCTCAGTAAGTACACATTTCATAACTGAAAGATAGAAGAAGATAACCCTATTTATTGTTTCCCAACAGAAATAATAATACAAATATTGAAATGTTAGTGATTGTTTTTCTCAAGCATGTACTGTGCTAAGCCCTTTACATCCATATACCATTTATCACTATAAAACCTCAATGAGAAGCAAAAGCAGACTTCCACTTGTATATGTTCAGAGGCACTGTCACTACCTTCATTTTAAAGATAAGAAAACTGAGACCCAGAAAAGTTAGGTCCTTTGCCTAAAATCCTACAGCTAGGACCAGAATTTGAACCCAGGGAATCCGGCTCCAGGGCTTGTGTTTTTAACCACTGCACACATTGCCTCCCTGGTCAATAGTCTAAATTGTCTACCATAAAGCCCAGAATGAAGAGAGAGAGGAGCAGTATGACAACAATTGGCAGAGGTGGGGAGCAAAGTCAGGGAGGAAATGGAAGGACTAGGCAGAGGTGACAACAACTTGCCTGGTCAGTCCATAAACCAGTGTTGGGAAAGACAGGTTTTGTTTTACTTTATTTTCCTTCTTCTTCCTCCTCTTTTATTATTTTAAGAGTTATATATAAAATATTCCTTAAAGATTGGAAAATAGCCAATATTATGACCCAATATGTCACAGATTCAAAATCAAATATAATTATCTTTTGCGAATTGTGATTTGATACAACCCACCCGTGTGAGCGTGTGAGGTAATTTCTTTTCTTTGAGAACATTCCCTTAGAGACTTTATTTCACACCTAATACATTAGACAGATGAGTGAGTTTCTATCCATAAAATACTATATTCCTTTTTAGTGTCTCTCAATTTAATCAGACCACATAACTAAGAGAGATATTGGTATTGTAAATATTTACCAAATACCATGTTCTCTTGCTTACAGCTTCTTGATCCAAGACAGGAAAGATTTATTTTACTGCAGCCGAGTACAAATGGAAAGTTAAGGCTTCTCTGGGAAATTTAACAACATTATTTTCATTTCATAGAATAAATCTGAGAAGAATGTCAGCTATGCTAATTTAGTTTTATAAATAAATAATTCTCTGGCAAGTGAAAAAAGCTCCTTTTTCTAATCTATTATTATTGTATAATTTCCAAGTCTTTCAGAACTGATTAGAAAACAAGTATCAGATTTGAGCTCTCGTGGCACCTTGTACTTGTATTTTGTGTTGTGCCTATGCGACAACAATCGTGTCGGCTTCCTGTCAGTGAAATTACATCTTGTCTCATGCATTTTCATGTATAACTCACTGACAAGTCCTCTTGGAAGATGTCAGAGTAAGTGGTAGAACCAAGACAATATCGTCTTTAAATTCCACTACTATATTTATTAAAATATATGAAAAAGGATGAGAAAGTTAGCATAAATCCATCCTATCAAATGTAGGGCTGCCTTCAATCCATAAAATGAAGTCTCAGG